TGCACTTCCCTGGGACCTCAGTGAGCAGGCCCGACAGCCTGGATCCTCACTGTGCGGCAGACCATGCGTAGGGAGCGCTTTCCTGACTCTCGGGTTCCGGGCCAGGCCACACTGGCGGTAATGCACAGCCGCTTCTGTGTGGCCGGTTCTCTGGCTCCGAGAACAGCCGCGCAGGGATGGAAAGGGAGTGGCGTGTGGGCACTCAGTCGTGCGTGCGCTTCTCTTTCCGCAATGTAGAGTCATTTGTTCAACAAACAATTATCAGCTTCAAAAGAGAAAAACAGAGAGACCTTGCCCTTGAGGAGTGTGAGGAAGGCACAGTCCAGGGGCGGGCAGACACTCAGGTAGACAGACAGTGCGAAGCTGGACAGCGAAGTGTGTGCTGGAGGCAGCGGGGAGTCCGAGGCTATGGGATCCGTCCGGGCCTGTGTTTCTGCCCAGCTCAGCCCTGGGCCCGGGGCATCCAGCAAGCCTTCTGTGGGCCACCCTTGCCCTTCCTCGTGAGGTTCCGCCCTGTCCTCCACGTGTCTGTAGTGAGTGCCCGGGACGTCCTGCAAGGTGTTTACATGGTAGAAAGGGATTCCAAGTCGGCTGAGCACAGGAAAGAACAGGACGCGGATGGAGTGTGTGAGCAGACCTATAGGAGATCGGAAACCTCATTCCCGGCCACGGAGAAGGCGCTTTCCCAGGGCTGACGGAGCGAGAGCCTGGGGGCGGCTTCCAGCTGCCATCACTGTGAGGTGCTGAGTCCTCCCTGCGTACTAGATTTCTCGCAGAATGCATCAGAGCTTCCTTAGGTCGAGTCCAGGGAAATCCGTGATTAGGCTCAGGAGGGCTGTCTGCAGAAAGTCTGGGGTGTGTTTTGCTTGTTTTCCTTTTAAGTGAGAGATCTCAACAGTGACTCAAAACTGGGCAGTGATGCCCAGCCTAGAAGAGTTAACGCTGGGCCCGCAGCGGGACAGAGGAGCCTTCCCCCTCCATCCCTCTGCCTGGCAGGGCCGGACTTGCGGCCTGAACTCGGCCCCCTCACACCATCTGAGGGCCTTGGAGGCCCTGCCAGCCCGTGCAGAGGAGAGACTGAAGCTGAGTCACACCTCGCTCCTCCAAGCTGACCAGTGCACAGAGGGACGTGAGTGTTTTGTTGGGAGTTATGTCTCACAGGCCATGGGGAGGAAACTGTAGACTCGAATGTTCTAAGGGCCCACAGATACCCACACAAGAGCCCCAAGTGGCCATGGAGTCGGGCTGCACCGACTGCTAACACAGCCCATTAGACCACAGGTGGGGACTCACAGCCAGCAGCCCAGCCTGTAGAAGGAGCCCGGTGGTGAATTTGTACCAGTCCTCCTCACACGCATCAGCTAAGCCATTTCAAGCATATTAAGCCATGAGATCAAGACCTTGGCCAGCAGGTGGCATGGAGGTTAAGGCACTGGGTCCCACATGGCCGTCTGCACAGTTCAGGTCCTGGACTCAGCAGCTTGAGAATCACGCTGGGCACATGTGCACAAGTGCCCAAAATCCTGAGAGGAGATGAGGACAAGGGATTGTGGCGTGGTCATTCTCCCTGGGGGGAGTTTCTCTCTCTCTCTCTCTCTCTCTCTCTCGTAAGCACATGCACCCTATAGGAATAAAAAAGAGGAAGGAGATCGAGACCTCATGAGACTCAGCCTTACCTTTCCTGTCCAGCTTCACGTGGGGCAGTGTCCCTCAGAGCCACAGGCCGGCGGGCACCCCAAGGCCACGTCCACACAGACATAAGCCACACAGGGGCCCCGGGAAGAAAACACGTGGCCTACTTTGCTTAGTAGGGGGATTTTGTATGTGTGTGTCTTAAAAAGTAGTTTATCCATCTAGTCAGTAGATAATATTTTTAAAGGAAAGTATTTGCCTATCATATTAAATTTTCCCAAATGGTAACTGGTTGAGCAAGTCAAGTTGATGGTGCCCACGCGAGTGTTAAGGCGAGTGGAGGTGGCAAGAAGACGACTGGGTATCTGGAGCCCAGCGGCAGTGTCTGCTACCAAGTCAGATTTTACTGAAGTTGAAGAATCCTGAAAGGATAGCAAGCTCAGATTAACAAAATAAATCTTAAGTAGAATAAATGTGTATTTTTTTGCTTTTAGGTTTCATTAATGCTGGAGACTAATAAGCCCTGTTCAAATGCAGGGAAGGAAAGCAGGATTTTGGTTAACCACAAATTAAGTTTGAACCTAACGCGTTGAAAACAACGGCAAAAAAGGAAACAGGCTGTAATCATAATAAGAAAAAGAGTTGTAAGTGTGGAAACATCTAGGCAGGTGCAGTACGAGGTACTTTGTTTATACCGTATCTGATCCTAACACCCCTGAAAGGTGTGGGTTGTACCCCCAGTACGCCTCACCCCCGCCCAGTGCCTGCGGTTCTTGCATACTGCATGGGGCTCACCCTCGTCCGCCTAGATTATTGTGTTCTCTGCCCAGAGCCCCACATCCCCTTCCTGAATTCACCTAGGGACTGAAGGCTTTTTTTTTTTTGTGTTTTTTTTTTTTTAATAAAAAAAAAAAAAAAAAAGGAGAGAGAGAGAGAGAGAGATACAGCCCTCCCAACAGGCCCAGCCCTGGAGCACAGGTACATCCAGCCTACTCAGGGAGCTCTCCAGACAGGGACCTGGAAACTCCCCACATGGCTCGGCTTCACCGAGTGTACATTCCACTGCCACACCACTGTCCGGCCCCGGTCTCCACCTTTATTTTCTTCAGCACGTCTTCCCTGGCCCCCAGTCCCAGGCTGGGTGAGATCGGCACTTATTGGTGTGACTTCTTGACTAGCTGTGAGCTCAGGAGGGACTCCGGGGACTGACCTGCAGCCAGTGGTGGGATTGACACCCGGCCGTGCAGGCGTTCGGAGGGCCCAAGGGCTAGGGTGGGCGCCAGCTGTGTGCATGCATTGAGGTTTATTTAAAGTGAAATTCAGGAAGATGGAGTGCCTCGCAGATGACTCCACACACACAAGTGTTGCCACGGTTGTGACAGTGTAGACGCCAGGTCGCCCACGATCTCTGAGCAGTGGGGGGCTAGGTCCTGAGGAAGCCCAGCTTCCATCCACAGTGGCCACATCGAGGTTTCCAAGCCGCTGAGGACTGAGCCTATGGAATGCACAATTTATGCCACCCAGTAACCAGGGCACAGTGTAGGGATTTTTTTTTTTTTTTTTTTCTATAGGACACAGGTGCGTGCTGGAGAGAA